CTTCCTTCCTTCCTTCCTTTCTCTCTCTTTTTTTTGAGAAGATAGTGGAAGAAGAATGGACTTTAGATCCAGAAACCCCTGGATCATATTTTGGTTCTTTACTAGCTAAATAATTTCAACAATTTACCTAATCCCTCTGAGCCTTGCAAGGTCATTATGAAGATCAAAAATAATGATACAGCACATGGTAAGAAACCAATAAGTAACATCTGATCTACATGAAATAGCTGGCATAGCTTGGGACCTACTAAGTGCTTAATGAGTAGAGACAAAAGTAGGTCTATAGTTGTTCATATGAAAAATAACATGATGAATAATGATAATACAAGAATAAACTGTTTTGCATACTCACAACCGTAAACCTACTTTTGCCCCACCCTATATCTATTAGTTCATTTGCGATATGCAACTGATGATTGTTAGTATCATACCTGTTGGAAGTGTAACATGTTCTGATAAGGGTTTCCCCAATCAAAAGCTTGGAACAGACCAGAATGAAACACCTATAACAAAATAAAAAGAATAAACACATTAAAATGATATAAAAGCATACATTTAGAGACAGTAAACAAGAAATATACAGAGAAGATTGACATTATGTTCCACTTTTTAGCACATGAGAAAATTTCATAAAGACTAATAAGCCAAATAATAACAATGATACAAATTTATACTAATTAATGAAACTGATTATCAAGCTTATATCCCCCACTATAATTTTCCAATGAAAATCCTCAGACTGCAATACCTTTAAGTGTTACAATGCTATACACAGACATTTTTTAAAAGATGCTGAACTGAATGATTCTTAAATATCTTGGCTTAAGGAATTTTTATACATAATTTTTAAAGGCACCACCTATGTAACTCCTACATTAAAAAATGACTGCCAGTATTCTTAAACAACTTTAAACCTTTCTATCCTTATCAGGTGGTCTAGGATATTACAATGTTACTCATTATTCTTAAACAATTTTGTTACTATTGAAAGGAATGTTTATTTACAGAACTTCTCAGTGCTTCCTGTGGGAGGTGTGGCATGGCTGTGTCCTTTTGTCGGCAAGGCCAAACATCCTGCCGCCTTATCAGTTATGTGGCCACAGGCTGCATGTCTGAGGTGCCATGCATGCCTATGTTTGCATTTTAATTTTAGATCAGATGTTGGAATAGAAACATTCATACACCTAGGGGTTCCTTTTTCTGTTATTTGCCACCCATGCCGATTAGAAGAGACAGATAATTTTTACCTTTACATCAAGCACTTCATTAAATTATTCTGACTACTCTAAAGGTTTGTGTGTTTTTTTTAAACTTATTTATTTATTTATTTATTTATCCTAACCCGAGGATATTTTTCTATTGATATTTAGAGAGTAGAAGAGAGAAGGAAAGACAGAAATATTGATGTGAGAGAAACACATCGATTGGTTGCCTCCTGCATGAGGCCTGAGCCAGGGAGGACTCTGCAACTGAGGTACATGCCCTTGATCGGAATCGAACCCAGGATCCTCTGTTTCACAGGCCTATGCTATATCCGCTGAGCCAAACTGGCTAGGGCTCTAAAGGTGTTTTTCACACTCGTTGATTTAAACTTGATTTTTAGTTTTAAATGATTCCCATCAGATTTATATTGACAGAGGCAGCAACCTTTTGTTATTGAAATTCTGCAAATTTTCAACAATGGGAAGCAATAGACTATACTAGCTAGGAACTTGGATTCTGGCATCAAACAGACCTGGTTTGAATCCAGGCTTAACAGAATATTGAACCAGAGGTCCAGGACAAGATATTTATCTTCTCTAAACCTATTTTTTCACCTGTGAAATAGGAATGACAATAATATTCTTCTTGTAGGTTGTGAAGCTTAAATAAGGCAATGCATAAAAACATGTAGCACCTAGAAATGTTCAACAAATCTCTTTTCACTAATATTACTACCATCATCTGCATCTTTGTCTATGTAACTTATGACCAAATATTTTATCCCCCACCTTTATTTCTATCCTGAAGAGGACTTCCTGCCAGAGAAGGGTACTTTTTAAGAAGAGTCAGCTGTGCATGTGTAAGGGATTGGCTATTTAGAGAGTGGAGGAGAGAGGGAAAGACAGAGAGAAATATCGATGTGAGAGAAACACATCAATTGGTTGCCTCTTGCATGAGCCCCTACCAGGGGCCCAGGCCAGGGAGGAGCCCGCAACTGGAGGAGCCTCCATTTGTAGAATGGAGATATCGATGTCTTTATTGAAAGATTGTTATGAGAATGAATTTGATGATACTGAATGAAACCATGTACATAAATAGCAGAAGAACACATAGTAAGTGCTCAATAAATAAGAAATTGAAGTTGTATTGCCTGGAAGGTCATGCCCATCAGAGAGGCTCCGTCTCCTCACCAGTAGGAGGCCCTATGACTCAAACTTCATTTTCCCTATTTGAGTGTGAAGACTTATCTCCTGAAGGTAGAACTCTTCAAAGAATTTCCAAAACTCTCAACTAGTGTGTCAGGCTATCTATAGCAGTGATTCTAAATTTTAAAGCAAAGAACAGGGTGTAGGTTAAATTCCTAGAGATCTCAGCTATATTAAAAACTTGGGAAGTTCTCTCTCTCTCTCTCTCTCTCTCTCACACACACACACACACACACACACACACACACTTGGGTCAGACAACTATACTAATCGAATTTGACTTACCTTTGAGCTTGTCAAATATTGAGTAATAGAGTAATACATGCACATACAAAGCTGAGGGTAAAAATAGACAACACTAATCTATTTTAATCCCTCCCTAATATTTAATTTTCTCTGAATTATTTCTCTGAATTATTTTCACACTCTGAAATGGCCTATATGCCAACTAGAGGGTGAAATAGTCTATATCATGACACATAAAGTTCTATTAAAGCTAGTGATTTCCAAGAGTTGAAAATACAAGTTTTCCTAGAAAAAGCAGTTTGGAGTAATCTAAGGATCAGAAGTCAGTGAATATGTCTAGGAACCAAGCCCAAACTCCAGACACTGAAGATGTGAAGACTAGAAGGGTGTAAAGGAAATCCGCATGAGTTTACGCTGATTCTAGAACACCAACTGGACAGTGGCAGGTGCCTGCAAAACCCTGGGAGCTCTCCTTGGGGATCTTGCAGAGATGTGTGTGTCTCATATCAGAAACAGGAAGCACGTACCTGGGCCCAGTGTAGCATGTTCTGAACAGATGTTCCTGCCGGACTCTGTGCCATATAAACATCCAAGCGACTCTGTAAAGTAAAGAGATTATGTCCCATTTGAAGGCTCATCATATAATCACATCACAAGTAAATGTGAATATCTTTTCTCTGTTTTTCTTTTAGGAATAAACATATAGCATAACCTCTGAAGACTCATTATCCAAAGAAGCCCATCTTTAAGAACTTTCCCTTCCCTTAGCTCTGTTCTTCTGTCCTGAGCAGTGTCTCATAGAGCCCACAGAGAGCCTCCCACTAGTCAAAGACAGAAGATAATACAGATTTTCTTTCCAGTCTTGCCTGGGACAGGTCTAAGAGGACAAGAAGTCATTGACCTTCTTCTTCACCCCATGTCATGTCCCAAAGACATTCTGAGAAAGTTGTTCGTTGTAAGACATTGAGAACAAATCTGAATGTTCCCTTTGTCATCTGATTTTTAAAATGTGGTAATATTCTGCAAGGCTCTTTGAAAGTTTGTGGGGTATAATCCATCCAATATTTTAACCTCCATTAACTTTTAAATTTATTCTGAATTTTAAAAACCCTTGATTTTTTTTCATAATTTCAATTGCATTTTTTTTTAGTATATAAAAGAGTTATTTTCCACCAAAGTTGACATCAGGAACATCTTTGAGCTTAAAAAAATACAACTACTTATGAGTTACCCAAACCTAGAACCAATATTAATATCTCTAAGACTGAGTTCTGGACATGTATATTTTTTCAAAGTTCTACAAACGCTCTGCTTAGGTATTTCTGGTTATACTGTACTAAAATAAACATTCTTGCAGGCATTGTAATATTCCATAGTCCAGTACCCACCAGTGAGAATAAAGGCATTCTTACTATGTAAATATACAACAGGGGCCCCCCAATTTATGTTCAACTGTGTTATTTTGTGAAGTCTTTCTTTAGCAAACTCTCAAACCATGTTGAGAGGGTGCTTTTGAAATTATCTGCCGGAGTCCATTCATTGTCTTCACTAGCTGAGTTTAGACAGAGACCCCCCAAAAGCTAGTAGCCCCTGAAAGTCCTAGCAAAGGTCAGAACTGTGCACCACCCAGTTAATTAAGACACCACCCAGTTAATCTAGCTAAAGTATCATCCCCACCTTAGTTCACTTAATTCCTTAGATACTTGTGTAGATCCTTGTTGATTATTGTTCAGATACTCTGCCTATTCCTGGAAATCATCTACTAATCAGATACTTTGTCTATTCCTGGAAATTGTCTGCTGATCTGTGTGTCATTGAAACCTCCTTACCTAAGGCTACCCCGACCTCAATAAAAGATCGGAGTGGCCTGAGCTTAGGTGGAAGTCCTTCGGGACTTGCCCGCCTGGTCCCCCAATATTGCAAAATTATCTCGTGTCTTTTTCTCTTATTTGTTGTGCGGCTCCTCTTTCAGATACAGAACCCTACTCCACGCAGAACGTGGAGGGAGTGTTACTCGACATTATCTCTATTGAGTTTGCTTAAAGGTCTTTTTACTTACCTTTACCTACATGAAATGCTTCCATCTAAGTGATAGGCAAGTATGGATTCCCTAAGATGTGAAAAGGCAGTGGCTAAAGCATGTTTTGCATAAACAATCTTTTATAAATCTTGCTTGAAAGCAAGGAAAGTGTTAATCAGTGCTTTCACTGACAGAGAGATACAAGTCTCTGGGCAGAATCTGTGGCATAGGTGGAAAACAACTTCAGCTCTGTCTCTGGTTACAAACATATCTCCTCCCTGGCTGGGGAGTAAACAGTAATTTCCCCTCTTTCTCATTCCCACTCTTTGGGTCAGCTAGTGGTAACTAAAAAAAGGAAAGGATCTCAGTTAAGCTGGAAAGGACTGGACAAGAACTCTAACATTTATTCGTCTCAATATCCCTTAAACAGTGAATGTGTAGCTATCATTGAAGAGCCACCTCTCCATCCCTTTGAGTTAAAGAAGTGGCTCACAAAATGGCCATTTCCACATCACTTATGAAAGTAAAAAAAAAAAAAATGATTTAAAAAATAGAGATACCTGAGCTCACTCCCTAAAATTCTACTTCAGTAGGTCTGAGATAGGGCTCAAGCACAGCAAGATTAATTTCAAAACCATAGCCATAGTCAAAGTGAAGGACTTTTCAGTGTGGTGCTTTGGCCACTAGCAAGAGTTGATGAGAATTTTCACCAAAAAATCTTCTTCTCAAATCCTCCTACGAAACCAGGTGGACTCAGCTTTGGTGGGAAGCCATGAACATGCTAATCACATTTCCAGAGACAAAAAAAGCAGATCTTGAATGTAGTTTGTATGCAATTTATAGTGAAATCTCCTAACTGCTGTTTAACAAAACATTTGCCTTCCCAATCCAACTATTTACACGTACCATGTTTAAGTTTTTTGGATCAAATCCACAAAAAGAAAATAGGAAGTTGCTGCAAATACGACGAAATAGCTTCTGGTTGCACACTTTGGTGGCAATGAATTGTTCAAGAAATGTATGAGGAGAGAACATCTTGTCACCAAATAACACCTGCAAGTTCAATTTAAGACACAATCAAATTTCATAGATGTGCATGTCAAGAGTGGAAAATGAGTGGTAATTCAGATAAGTACTGGACAGAAGATGACATCTCCTTAGTACTTATAACTCAGTGAAAGTGGGAGTTCTGTTAAATTTTGTCCTTGTAGTTCTTCCAACTCACCTCTTTTCCCAAGATCCTTTACTTGGAGTATTTTTGTAATGCCCCCTAAGAAATGAGTCCCCACAGAACACTGTTAAGGCTTTGGCATACGGGATACTTCGGTTTGATTTTGGACTCTATCTCTTATACCTTAGGAAAGTATTTACTTTCTATTATCCTGAAATTTCTCAACTATAAAATGGAAACTTAATATGCACTAAGTAGGACTGCTGTGAAGATAAAAGGTCATGTTTAAAAGGCAGCTCATGCATTTTCTAGGACCCAGTAAACATTCCAATTACAATGTTATTATTATATTTAGTGACTGACACAGACTTAAAGAGTCATTCCTTGCAGAATCTTTTAATGAACTCTAGAGGCAAAAACTGAACCCAAAGAAATGAATCTCTACTAGTGGAATTTCAAGCAATGTTACAGGTAAGTTTAACTTATCTTTTGAACTTTAAGAAATTTAATTTAATTCTTGAAATTAAAACATAAATTAATATCTAAACTCCTTGCATATAAGTACAATCTTGCATTTTTAAAAAATAATAACTAGTTTTATAATCTTAGGATAATAAACTAGATATAAAGCTGAAAAGATTTCTTTTTATTCTTAAAACTTTTGGAAACCTCCATTTATAGTAAAAAAAAAAACACCCAAAAAACAACTGTCATATCTCTCTCCTGGAATCCTTCATTAATTGACTAAAAGACAACAATAAATAGCATTTACTTTTATTACACAAATACCTTACAATGTGTTACACTATCTTTGGTAAACTAGATCTAGTAAATTCCTACTGGTTATAATTTGTTAAATTCTGAGCTTAAAAAATAGTTACCTTATACAGTCAAAGATAATCTTCATTCAATGGAATATCTTATATTCCATGGAATATTAATGAAGTATATGATACGTCGTGACTTAATATAACCCTTAGTGCCAGAGAGAGGGAGGAAATAAGGAAAGAAGAGAGAGGCTACAATATGTTAAACTCATTCAAATCATACTTCTTTAGGTCTGACAAACAATAATTAACCATTGCAGAAATTATCTAATTTATTCTGGCCTCTTATTCACTTTATCCCAATCAGTGGGTTAATCCACTTAACAAATTGTAACTCTTCCTATATAACTGTCTACATGGTAGTTTAATAATAGTACCTATCTTTTAATAGAATGTCGACATCTATGTTCTCAAGTGTGATAACCTAAATAGATCTCCACAGGAATAAGTTAAAGTAGAAGGCAGGATCTGATTTTACTCAGTGGACATTTTTGTTTTTCATTTACCAATATCTTGGTCATCCACACTTGGCAGAAAATTCATGTGAAAGAAAACAGCCAATTCAGAGAGTAATCAACCAGGGAAATACTATTGAAGAAAGAGGTTATAGCTATCATAAGGGGTCCTTGTTCTTTGTTCTGACAGTTGACTTTCCTAAAGACAGAGTGAATTAGCACAGTAGTCTCTGACTTGACCCCACTGCTATGTCCATGCATGAATGACTCAGCTAAACTACCACACATTTACCTAAGAATAAATAATTGCTCTTTTAACCTAAAAGGGAGGGTAATAATGCAGACTAAGTAGCCATATAGCATCCACTTGGAGAGTGATAAACATGCTGACTTGTCACTGTAATTCCAAGTTTGTTCTGGAGGGGGCATGTTTGTCTCATAGCAGTATAGAGATATGCTTTTTCTGTTAACTCTTTTGGCACCTGTATGAGAATTAGAAAAGCCCTCTCCCCTTTTATTCTGCACACATGGCCCCATGCCAGGGCACATGGCTGGCCAAGCAGAACATGGACTGGATTCAATAGCTGAGCTCCATAAATAGCTACATATTGGATTCGATAGCCTGTTTGGCTGCATAAGGATCTAAGACTGACTTCTTCAGGTTGGCATGGAAAATGACAACATATAAAAAGGGCACTGACCATGGATGGTCTGATCAGATCTGGATTCAAATTCTGGTTCTGTCATCCGTTCACTAGGTGATTTGGGACAGAATGCTTAGCCTCTCTGAAACTCAAATTCTTCTTTTAAGAAATGGAGGCAATATTAATAATCCTTATTGTAGATAATATGTTAAAAAAAAGCAAAGGGTCAAAGCAAGCTATAGAGAAAAGAGAGAGAATTAGGAATTAGTGGGCCACATGTGGTAGCTCCTCTATTGGAGTTAAAGCTCTTTCAGGGCAGCCTTTCGAAAACTACAAATCTGATCAAGCCATTTCTCTGCTTAACATACTTCATTGGCTTCCCATTACTAACAGAACAAAAATCTAAACTCCTTAACATGACACAATTGCTTTCCATTTACTGTCCCCTACTGTCCCTAGTCAAGTCTACCATGACTCTCACATGCACCCTAATTTTCAGTCATATCAATCAGCTGAATGTACCTTTATAGACATAGCCATTTTCTGATGCTACGCTTTTGAAATAGTAGCTCCTAGATATATTTTCACAGAATTGAATTGAACTGCACTATACCACCGGCATATCAAAACATGTGAAAGGCTGAAGCAGAGCTGTACAAATTGAGAAAAATAGAAAGAGCCCACCATCTCAAAATATCTCTTAACTGTGTGGAAATGCTAAAATAAATTAGCAAGCTATTTACCCAGCATAGGGCCCAGTCTAGGCTGAATCTCTATGGTACAAGAGGGTATTGTGAGCATTTTCCATGTTGCTTAGTTGTTTTCCTGCTATTGTGTTTCTGGGTTGTATAAGTATAGAATTGACTCATCATAGGTTAATTTGCTTATTATTATTATTATTATTATTTACCAACCAAAATTCCTGGCTTCTATAAAAATTGTCTCAGCGTTATTTGCTTTAATTGAAATCATTGATTTCAATTATACACTGTGATTACCTTTTGTCTAGTAGGGGAGAAGCCATATTAATATGCAACAGGAAAAAACACCAATACACATAGACCAATTCTCCTTGATAAATGATCAGTTTAGTTAGCTGTCAGCTAGTAGAAAAATCTGGGGTCAAAGACCCCATCTGGCTTCATGCTGTGATCTCAACCACTACTCATACTGCCCCTCAGAAACCAGGGGCCACTGGGGAGAAATTTAACTTACTAGATTAAACAAATCAATTACTCAATTCAGCATTTGCTTTATCTGTAACTGAGGAATGACATACATGAGAGAGAAGACATTGATGAAGATAATAGGGTAGAATGGCATCAGAGTGAGCCCCCTGAACTCTATTACTAAAATTGCACATCATCAGTAAGCTTACATGGATACTTCCAACACTTATTATAGTCTCAGAGGTTTGTAAAATGTCATTTGGTTTCCTTCTATTAAAATCAGTGGGAACAGAGTTAGTTTTCATTCTACAGGTTTAAACTGGAGAAGTCACATACCTTGACTCCTTCTCTGGAAAGATTTGTTAATTTTCTCAGAGGACTGTGGGTGTATTTCACTGTAATGACTGGAGCCAATGCAAAAAATATTTTAATCCTTTTAGCCAGCTCTGGATTTGTAGAGAATGCTATGAAAGCTGAAAGGGAAGAAGACACTAGTTTATAACAATTCTTAATTTATCTTAAATGTTAGCAGAAGTATTATATTAAAAACAACAACAAAACAAATATAAAATAACTCAGAGTAAACACCATTTGTAGGAAGGATTTTTCTAAATTTCTCAAGAATGGAATTGGCTAATGCAGAATAAAGTGTTTTCTGTCCCCAGAGAGGACAAGAGTTGCAGAGAGGGTTCAAATATCCCTTGTGGGGTATGTCTAGGTAAACTCCTAGGACCATTCCTGCTCAACCACAGTCTTTAGTATCAGACAAAACTGAGCTATAATTTTGGCTTCCTATTTACCAGCTGTGTGAAGATTTGGGTAAGTTACCTACCCTGTATAGGTCTCAGTTTTCTTAATCTGTAAATGTGGAAAATAGAATCCTCATAGAATGATTCTTTTGAAGGTTAAAATACACACATATTATTTGGCAGTATCACCATTAGAAAGGATCTCTATATTACCATTTGTAAAATATGAATGATAATGGTTTCACATGTCTGTAGTTTTCAATGAGAGAATGTATGTAAGGTGCATAGTATAGTTCAGGCATATAAAGACCTGCTTTATACTAGAAACCTAATTAGGATTAAGATATAGAAAAGAGACTGGGGGAAATGCTGTTGGCATTGTTGAGGTCTGTAGCTGAATGGGGAGCAGTGAAGGGAGTGAAGTGTCTCATGGCTTTGAGGCATGGCCCCATCTACATCCACTCTAGCCCAGTGCACCCTGGGAAGTGAAAGGCACACTAATCGTGGCATATAATCAGTGGGATTTATAATTTTCTGCTTTCCTTTTGGTGTCTTCTCTAAACTATGAGATCTTTAAAGGAAGGATGTATACCATATTTATTTCTTACCCAGTGTCTGGAAATTGTTTGTTGTGCACATAGATAAATAATTCTCTCAAAATAAATACATTTATGTATTATGAGAGAAATATAAATAATCCTTCTGGCATCTTTATGAATCTACATAGATTCAGTCCAACGGGAAAAGAAATCACTGTTGTGGTCCTTGTTTCATTTAATCTTCAAAAATCAGCCAGAGGAAAGGGTTTCCCACCTCAAGTCCCCAAGCTAGAGACAGCACAGAGGGAATAAATCCTGATCCCTTTCATAAATATGGAAGAAGATCCTCTGACACTCTCAGATCACACCTGCCCCAAACACACCGATGGTGGTGCCTTGGGAGTGGCCCACATAGAAGAGTCGCTCCTGTCCAGTTTTCTCTACAATAAAATCAATTGTGGCTGGAAGATCATATTTAGCCATCTCATCCACACTGCAAAAGAAGAAAACAACAAAATTGGAAAAACATATCTCATTGTTAGGCCTGCAATATCCAAACACATTCATTGCAGACATTCGCTTTTCTTAAATATTAAGACTAGAGTCAATATATGATATTATGGGTCTCTGTGACTTTTGAGGATGTCACCTTGATTGCCAGAATAACGTTGTTAAGAAAATGGAATCAGAAAAATCTGATTTGCAAAGATCTACAAAGGCTTTTCCTAAAAGGCCAGTCATATTTCACCTAATTCTACAGCAGATTTACCAAACTCCCTTTAAAAGAACAATGACCTAGATAAAAGCAAACCGTTTTGCAGATCTCAGCCCAGAAACACTGAGTCAGTGAAGACTCGTGGTAATCTGAGTACTTATCAATCACCTCAGGTGCTTTTTTTTCGTGTTTGTAGTTGGGAAAACACTCATGTAGGGAACCATCATGTTATCTGCAATAGTTTAATGACACAACTGCACTGGGTGTGGAATTAGGAAATGCAAAATCGCTTCCAGGTATAAGGCAGGAATGAGGCCAAGGAAAAACTGCTTTAATGACCTTCAAGGTATGGTTCTTCGCTCTTATGCAAATACAGGGGTTTGATCCTATGACCAAGACCTGACTCCAGGGGCAGGTTTCAGCACTGTCCTCCGATGGAGGGCAGAGTTCTTTCACTTCTTGGAGAGTAAACATTTGAGTGTCTGGTTCACAAGCTTTTCAACTAAAACCTTGTTTCTGGTCCCATTTCTCAATCAATTCCTCTTTAATAAGAGCACTATATCAACTTCTTTTGGGGTCCATATGGACAAAGTGATAGTCTTGGAACTAACCTTTCTAAAGCTGACCTTTGCATTTTGATTTTGTTTTGCATACACATGCATACAGCAAGTGGTGTTTTAAAATCAAACATAAGTGCAATCATAAGGGCCTTTTTTTCAGAGCCCGTAAAGAAAGTCGGGGTAGAGGTGGAAATATTCATTTTCATCTTGTGAATTCCATTGGATGCATTTGAACAGAAAGGAAAAAATCAAAGGGTGTTCATTCGTATATAAATGACAAAATACACACACACACACGCGCCCACACACACACACACACACACACACAGGAGAATCAGTGTTAATCTTTCACCCTAGTTCCCAAATAATTTTAACCCTAAAGTCCCAATGCCAATTTGTGTGTTTTTTTTTACCTGAAGGCCCAGAATTCTGGTGATTTGGGTGAGAATTTCAAGTGTTTTCTGGACCAGGTATTTCCCCGGCTGTTCCCCATCCACACATCATAACCAGTATCTGCTAGAAGGAAAGCCAAGCTGTTGTTGGGCAAGTTGCAAATCCAGTTACTGGCAGATGCAACTAAGCCATGTTGCAAATACACAACAGGTCTTGGATCTGCAAAACAGGCAACAAGAATTTCACGTCAACTTTCTCAGTGTCTATAAGAGAAGTCTCTTTCCTGCCTTCCTGTAGTATATACACGAAAAGATGAAATTTGGTGCCAGGCAAACCCAGGTTCTAGTCCTTTCTGAACTACTTACTTGGGCAAGTTATTTACCTTCTCTATGTCTTATTTTTTTCTTTGTAAAATTTGGATTTTATACCATGTATTATATTATTCTGTAGGAGCTGGAGTCAGATAGTCCTGGTTCAAAATCTATTCTACTATGTATTAACCTTTATGGTTAACTCAGTTCACTTATCTGTATAATGGGCAATAATAAAAGGTTATCTCATAGTGTAGTCACAAGAATTAAATTAGAATTAAAATACATAAGACTGTCCAGCACAATAAATATTTGCTCTATTATTATTCATATTAATAATATTTTATTCCTCAAAGAGTATATGATAACAAAAGTAACTTTTTCTCAAAATAATAACAAAAAAACATAAAAATGCCATTTGTTGAATGCCAGGCACTATGTTAGATTTTACAAACACAGCTTAATTTAATTTGTACTCTCAAAAAGCAAAATTCAAGAATATAAGTGAAATGTTATGCAATATAAAATTGTTAATTTGGTATAAAAGCCCTATTCATAATGTAGAATTGAAACAATTTGACTAAGAAACAGAAAAGAAAAAGAAGGAAGTTGGGAAACTTAGAGAGGAGATAAGAGTGACCAGTGACCGGAATTATTTTGTCTTTTATGACTGGTTTGTGAAGGTCACTTTTGGTGCTGCACCAGTTTCCCGAGATTGGGTAGGCTAGAATGGACTCTCAGAGAGCCTTCAGCCATTTGGAAGCAAGGAACTATGCCCATTTATGCACCTTTTCAGAAAACAGAAAGAAGAGGTATTCCAAATTCTACTAAAGTTAAGTACCACCAAATAGCATTTATAGTCTATAGCCCCTCTCTGATCTGAGCCCTCAGGCAGCTTCTTCTTATAGAGGCAGCTTTCCATCTCATGCATTTTGGCAGCTACCTGGCAGAGATCATAAGATAAAAGTTTGTGGAAAGAAAGTCCTCATGAGTATTTATAAGGAAACTAGAGTAGCTAGGCCGGTGTGGCTCAGCAGTTGAATGTCAACCCAGGAACCAAGAGGTCACAGGTTCAATTCCTGGCCAGGGCACATGGCCAGGTTGTGGGATCAATCCTCAGTAGGGGGTGTGCAGGAGAACCCTGATTGGTGTTTCTATCTTTCTATCCCTCTCCTTCTAAAAATCAATAAAAACATATTTTTTAAAAATAGAGTTATTGTGGGAGTGGATGGTTCTATTAAGTCAACACCATTCCAATTTAGATTGTCTCTTTAAATAATTAACCCTTCTAATGTTAGGGAGTTTGTTATACAACACTCCAAAGAATAAAAGGAGCTAAAAATCAGAAAAGAAAGTACAGTTCTTGCCAAATGGATCCCTCTTTTCTCTACAGATATTAACATCTATTGCAGCGAGCTAGAAATGGCTCTTGCATTAAGTTCAAGTATAAAACTAATAGGGTCAGATTTACTTAAGAACATAAAATTCCACTGAATTGGTGGAGGACTAGTTACAACTGATATAATACCAGTTAGAAAGCTATTTTACTAGTTGAAGCAATAGATAATAATGATGTGTTAACCTACACTTGAGCGATATTGAAGCTGAGAGAAGTTTGCGAATCAGAAAGAAATTTAGAAGGCAAAATGAATAGATCTTGGTGATTGGCTGTTTATAGGAGGTAAGGGAGAAGAAAGTATCACAATGACCTTTCAGTTTCTAGATTTAAGCTGGAAAGTAGTTATCTCTAGAGTAAGAAAAAGTTTTCTTTTTGTGCTTTTTAGGAAGGAGGATAAAGCGAAGAAGAAAAGGCTAAATAGACAGTGTATGGGAAAATTCTGGAAAAATTCCAAAGGCTTATACAAATGAAAGAGAGTAGTAGAGGAGGAGGTGATGGTTTTCCTCCTTTGATGGGAAGGCACTCGGCTCTGTTTAGAATAAAAACTGCTTTGCTGCTATCAGCACATCGAGGAATCTCTGCTTTAGGCATTATTTCTTTCACAACAAAATAAACCCTACCTGTTCTTGGACATCCTCTCCCGTGAGGAATCCTGTAAATTCCGAGGACATAGCCATCTTTTGTCACAACATCATAATTTTCATAAGGATAACCCCAGTACGAAATAACTTGGCTCTGAAAAGAGGAAAAACATAGATATATATCTATTTATGTTGTGATCTCTTGATTTTTATACCTGCATTGCAATATAGTACTTTCAGCCACAGCCTATTCTTCCCCAAAGTATTGAGACAGAATAAAGCAGGAAAATCAGGATAACTTGAAGAGGGTTTTAAACTGGGGATGGATGCATACAAAGCATGGGTGAGGCAAGGTTGGGTGACTATACAACCTGGGTTCTCCTGGAATGGTATTATTAATACACACTGGCTCATTCTCAAAATGTTTTGACAAGAAATCATGTGGACATCTAATGAGGGAAACCATAGGTGATAGTGTAGTACCTTGAGGCTAGTACCAAGTGAGCTGTTACCTCCCTATTACCTTAAAGGAGATGAGAGGAAGTGGTTACCAGAATCAGAATGAGAAAGTCAGGTAGAGAGGGCCACATTGAGAGGAGCTGTGACCTCTAGCAGAGAGACAGCCTGTCCAAGGTGACCTCCAGGACAATAACTCATCTGATTGCACTCTCCTCCTTCCTTCTGATCTCCTGTTCAGGGTTTCCATTGTATGAACTGACCTAAAAACTAAAGTTCAAGGGAACTTATTGACCTAGTTCTTCTTACAGGTCAGCCTCTTAGACAGAAAACAATGTAAGAAAATACAGAGTGGCTCTAGAGGGGTAAGCAAAAGATATACCAACTACAACAGTACAAAGAAGAGGAGAACTATTGTTGATTGCATAGAAGATGGTTTATATCCCCTGTTTTATTAATCTCAATATATAGCCTTTCAGATAGAATTATAGTGGCACCTTGGTTCTCAAACTTAATTTGTTCTGGAAGGCTGTTTGAGAAGCAATTTGTTCGAAAACAGAATAATTTTTCCCCATTAGAAATGTAAATTGAATTAATCAGTTCCAGACACCCAAATGGTTCCCTGTTTTATCCTTTCTTATATACAGTGCATGTCTAATGTACTGTATAATCTATAAAGAAACACTTCTTTTCTTAACTTTATTGAACCAGCTCCTACTAGCCTTAAAGGAATCACTTTGAGTGCTCGGTCCAGGCCAGTGGTGTCTTTCAGACCAGCTTGCAGCATCTTTGCTCGTTCATATATCACTGCCTCCGAAATGTTGTCACTAGCTAACTGCTTCTCTCTCGTTTATGCAGATCAACAACATTGCCTGTGATCATTGCTTCTTTCACACCCTTAGCAACATTAGCACTCTTGATTGCCTCTTTATATTTTAAAACTGTACTAATCTATTTCAACAGCAACAAAAGTATTCTCTCCTTTGTTGCCTGAGAGGTGCTTTTTGTCATACTGAGGTATCAGTGTGAAAGGGTTGTCAGGTTGATAATCAAAGTTTGATTGGACAACCGAGACATTTTTTCTGTGAACAACTTGGTCAAAAACCGAATTGTGCAAGATGAGAGACTTTTGAGAAACAAGGTTTGACTATATATCCTTCTTTGGAGTTGAGAAAACTAATTTTCCAGAAGATTAACAATCTGTCGGAGATTGTACAACTAGGAAAAGATAAAGACAACAATTAAAGCCAAAGTAAGTTTAGTGCCAAAGCAAGCCCTTAACACAAAATTAGGTATTAACCCATGCCAGGCACTCAAGAAGTGTGTATACATATGGGGCCACATGAAGCAGTGGTTATAAGTTCAGACTCTAGAGACTAACAATATGGCACTGAATTCCAATGCTTCCTCTTATTAGCTATGAAACTTTGGGGAAGTTACTTAACCTTTCTGGCTCTCATTTCCCTCAACTATAAAATAAAGATAATAATAGTAACTCTTCACAGATTTGTTGTAAGGATCATACACAAAGAATCTAGAACAGCGCCTGGCACAAAGTAAGTGCTATATAGTGCTCACTATTGTTATTATCATTATAGAATAATTAAGAGCCAAAAAGCATTTAGACCAGGACAAGAAGATGTGTGTGAATATGGGAGGAAAGGAAAATTTGAATTAAGGACATACACTGAGTGGCCAGATTATTATGACCACCCCATCAATACTTCATTGACACTTCCAAAAATACTGAATATTGAAAACTTCCTAAGCAAATACTCTCAAGGTTTTATTATTATTATTTGCATAACTAATTCACTTCATTATACTGATGGGGTGATCATAATAATCTGGCCACTCAGTGTATATTCATAGACTGTGGGGTACCTGCTGGATACATTGTAAAGAGCAAAAAGATGAGACACTAATTTTAAAACTTTGGTAGTTCCATCCCTAAAGTTCTAATATAAAGTGGTGTGGGCAAGTACATCAATAGTGTATAATTGTACACAGAAATATAGAGCATTCCATTAGAATAAAGCCTATAGTAGACATTGATCATTTGTCTTTTTTCCCCCCAGCACTATTCTGCTCTATCACTCTATTTTATTCCATTGCACCTCCGGTATGAATTCCTCCATGTTAAGGTATTTTTTGTTAAAAACAACTGAAACCAATTCTGGCTTACTAAACTAAAAGAGTACACTGATATAGCTCACAAATCTCAGAAATTGCTCTAGAAAAAAACTCAGGAAGAACTCAAGGAAACTCTATAGAGATCACCAGTATGGGCTGATGAACATGTTCTCCAGTAAGGCACCATCAGATGGTGGCTCAACTACCAGGAGAAGGAATATTACTACCCAACTTGAATCAGATCTTTCAACCCTTAGATTAGATAGCCATGTCAAGGAACAGGGGAGGAGGCACAGATTTATTCAATTTAGAATTGTTTAAAACTAGATAAGCACATCAGTTATAACTCAAATGATAACTTCATAATTAATTCTTTATCTTAATTTTTTTCCCTTAATGAGTGACTTACAATATTCATATGAGCTTCAGGATTTGTGGTGCTTCCTTTCTTGTGACAACCATATAGAGGTCCAAGAAGAAGTATCCAGCATGCTGCTGCTAGAAGCTGCCACATTTGGGGTCTGCCTGGGAATGGAAATGTCAATATTTTTGTCATCATAAAGAATTCTAAAAGTGAAATTTGGTGTAACCTACAACTCTACTGTGGGAGGGAGTAGAAACATAGTTCTGGTTGTGCTTAAACAAGTACTATACTTAATTATTCAAGATTTATCCCATGCAGAATCTAAAATGGTAACTTTTTCAGAAAGAAAGATAGAAGAAGGAAGAAAGGAAGAAACCAACATCAATTAAGCATCCAACAGGTAATTGGACAAAAGAAGGAAATGTATAATTTGCAGAAAAAGAATATAACAGCCAATATATTAATCAAAGCAGATTTAGTGACTCTAGTTAGCAGATAAAGTAGTATTTGTCTTCTGATGGTGGGAGTGAGCATTGGCACAGACTTCATGGGAAGAAATTTATTAACATGTCTTGCAAATAATGATGCAGCGGAGGAGAAGTAGGTGGTTAGCACTGTGTGCTGTGTTTGTCTAGTCCCAAGAGATAGTACAGAGTGCGCTAGTCATGACAGGTTGAGTTTTGCAGCCATGGCAAAGGGCCCATTCAGCTGCCTTAGTTTCATTCTTCTGTGTAATGGGTCTGGCGAGGGTGACACGCCCAGTCAAGAGGAGTCTGTGTGTTCCACTTTGTAGGAGTGGCGGGTCCTACCCAAACGGCCTTTCTTCAGGCACTTCTCCCACCAGGGCTGTGTTTGTCTGTGCTTCCAGAGGTGTGTTTCTCTAAGCCTTACATTATTAACCGTAATTGCTGGGTAAGTCGGCCTGACTCAGGTATCTCTTGTTAATGATACTCCAACAGTCTTCTAATTTATTTGACCTGTTTCTATAATGGCTCCCTGATGAATGAGTTTACATGAACATTCTGCTGATTCAAACTAACGCATATGAGGATGTTAGACTAAGAAGAGAGCAGACATTATAAATTGCAGGTGACTCTCAGTTTTTTTTTTAAATTAAATATATTTTATTGATTTTTTACAGAGAGGAAGGGAGAGGGATAGACAGAAACATCGATGAGAGAGAAACATCGATCAGCTGCCTCCTGCACACCCCCCACTGGGGATGTGCCCACAACCAAGGTACATGCCCTTGCCTGGAATCGAACCCGGGACTCTTCAGTCCGCAGGCCAACGCTCTATCCACTGAGCCAAACCAGTCAGGGCGTCTCTCAGTTTTTAAAGAAGAGACCCTTAGCCCAGACTAAATCATATACAATCTATATAGATTTTGTTGACTTATCACTCTAAATCCACATTTCCCACTGCTTTCCTATAGCATGACTCCCATAAGATGTTATTGTAAAAAAGAGCTCTAGGTCATGTGGAAACTTGGAATAGATAGATGGGTAAATGTTAAACTGTACGTGGTGCATATATATGACTTGCTTGGAGAGTCATAGAAAAATATATATACATAGCAATGCTACATACATGACTTGTTTAGACAGCCTTACCTTACAATAGCATAATTAAGGCTGAGAATAATCCTATAGTCAAGAAACTGTTTAACTTTGTTTAAAACTGTTTTTTCACAGCCTTATTTTTTCTTAGAATTTTGTTTGAATAACACCAATTAAACATATATGACCCCGATTTTCTAAGGAATACACTTGGGAAAACTGCTCTGATATTTATTTATATTTTTATTTACTATACCAAAAAAAGAAAACCAGTGAAATGAAGGGGAGGCTAAAATTACACAAGTATCCAAAAATTGGAACCTCATCTTTTAAGTTTTCTGCAGATAGGCGCCCTCCATGTCTGCGGTGAGAGCTGTTCCAGACTTAACTGAATTTGGTTGTGACCACTTGTAAAATTCTCCTCCATTGCTCAAAATTCTCCCTTCTTTATGGTTATGTTCTGTATTTCCCTCTAGCAACTGCAGCCAGGGGTATATATGAGAATTTCAAGAGAATATTGGTACATTTTCTGTTTCACATAGGTATAAATATTTTACATCAAATGCATGTAGATTATATAGGCAACCCTCATAAGGAAAACATTTCCACTTACAGATACATTAATGATGAAATAAATTTCTCAACAAAAGAATATCAGAAATAATAGAGAACTTCATTTCACTCTTCTCATTGCCCCATTATAGTTATTGTCAGACTTATCAGGCAGACATTGAACCAAGGCTTATGTTGATGCTTGGATAGCATTCTTAATGAATCCACACCTCCATTCTTAACTGTGTTATGAAAATAGAGATGAGAATTAGCCAGAATATACAGGTGCAATGAGCTCACAGTATTTCTAAGCAAGCTTTGGTTCTGGAAACACATAAAGGCCAGTTTCTATGTATCGCTCTCTGATGAATCTCAGTCTGTTCAACGGCAAGGCAAATGATTAGTTCCTGAATGCTCTGCAAAAAGTTTGAGGTGAACATCAGGCTCTGTCCTTTAGAGAATGAGGCAGCCATGAGAATGCACCGCTGAGACCTTGGACTACAGGGAGCAAAACTGGCCATCAGCCATCTCCCGGGCTCTACCATCCACCACTGTGTCCCACTGAAGATGAACATTGTAGACACTCCGTAGGTGTTGACTATCACTGTTATTATTATTAGTTGAGTGACTTTGCTAGTCAGTTCCACCTCCTTGAAACTTAGTTTTCTTATCTGTACCATGGGGATAATAATACCTGCTAGAGTTAGCTTGAGATGATAAGTAAGATGATAAATAATGTCTAAAAGACATCTAACAATGCTGGCACTCAATAAATGGTAGCTATTGATATAACATACCTTCTATTATGAAGTGATTGTTTCAGATGTATGGCTTGGCTGTCAAAAGAGTCCACAAATTTCTTAAAGGAAAGAACCACATTTTACACTCTGCCTGTATTTATAACTTTCATGTCTCTCATGCATCTCTCTAACTTGCTGATGCTAGATATGGTACAATTCTTTGAGCTGAATTGTAATTAAATGACAGATTGGTTTATACCAACATCTTTTCTCAAAAAGAAACATATGTCAAGCAGTTAAGAATTTCTGTTTGCTTAAACCCTCTATCAAGTATTCTCATTTTATGCTGTATAAAGTATATAAGTATTATGTATAATCTTTAATTTATAATTTTTACACCATGTATTGAGCATCTATATGCTTAATCAATACACCAATTATTATTTTTTCCATAAGTAGAAAATGTCAGTTTAGGATGTGAACAAGATTTATTTTACTCCATGTTCTTTTCACTGATTCTTGTTTCCTCATATAAAATTATTCTTTACTGAAATTTTCTCAAAGTATGAATAGACTTTAAAGATTTTGGACACAGTATAGCTCAGGAAATGATCAAAACAGATGAGCAATTTTGGTTAAACAGATTTGAGTATGAAATTATTATCAGTGACAAAACTGAAAATGGGAGTGAGCTTAGAAATGTGAAACCATCCTGTGTATGCAGGTTGCTTGACAACCAAACAAATGACACAACATAGAGCTGGTATGAACATACACATTAAAATGTAAATAAAATGTGTGCCATTCTCACAGCCAGAGGGAGATGTGATGATTGGGAAACAAATTATACATATATATGAAAGCCACATACAATATTAGTAAGAGGCATGCAATCATATCTTTCCTGTTATCAATAATGGCATACTTTTTCTTGTTTCATGTTTTATAGACAGATGAGCCCAGAGGATGAGAAAAGAAATGTAGGAAGACAGAATGAGTGGGAAGAGAAAGAACAATCATATCATAAATTTATACACACACAAAATTCTAGACCTTAGTAGTTTCATAATGAATATTCTATTGAACATTTAAGAAAATAATGATTAAAGTTAAGAAAAAATAACCTCAGAAATAGAAAAGGAAGGCATTCTTCTGAACGAACCTTATTAAAATGACCTAAAGTAGCCAAAACAAATTTGCAAAAGAAAACAAAGTTGATGATTTACACTACCTGCTTTAAAGGCTTACTATAAAGCTACAGTAATCAAGACTGACCCTATTTGGCAGTGTTATGAAGATAAATACATAGTGTAATGAAATACAATAACTATTCCACAAATAGATACATACACAAATGGTCGATTGATTTTGGGCAAAGTTTCCAAGGTAATTCAATGGAAAATAATCATATTTTCAAAAATGGTGCTATAACTATATTAAAGAAAATCATTCTCAACCCCTAATTTACACTATCTACAAAAGTAAAAAGTAAATCATTTGTCTCAACCTAAAAACTAAAGCTATAAAAGTTTGAAAGAAAACACAGAAAATCTGTGTGACTTTGGAGTAGGCAAAGATATCTTAGGACACAAAAAAACATAAAGGAAAAAAATAACAAGTTAGACTTTATCAAAATTAAAAAACTTGTACTGTTGAAAAGACACCATTAAGAAACTTAAAAGTAAAGCCATAGATTTAGATAAAATCTTTTTAAAACAAGTATCTGACAAAGAAATTTTATCCAGAATATATAAAAATCTCTTACCGTTTAATAAAAAGTTAAATGACCAATAATAAAATTGGAAAAAGCTGTGTACAAATACCTTACAAAA